ATATTAATTTAGGTCTTTATTTTTAGACCTTTAGTGTTGCCGTCTGTGAGGAAAATAAATGGGGCTCAGAGCCTCGTATTTTTGTAATCTTTTGTTCCTTCTAATTTGTTATTCTTTTCAAAATAGCACACTGTTATTTACTCACCAATAACACACATTTATCCTTGCTTTTATTTATTGGTTTAATTCCATAATCTCGGGCTTTTTTGGCGTTCGTCAGGAACTGAATTTCAAAATAAAAATAACCGGAAACAGACGTAGGCATTTCGAGCGATTGCCCAAGATCCTCAGCTATGATGATTGGATGTTTTAGCCGCAATGCATGCTGGGATTTGGGGTTTATATTATATGAAATCCGGAAAACATTTTAAAAGAATAAAATAATACTTAATTCCGAGTGCTCTTGCTTTTCTCTTTGAAAGTCATCACATAACGGCATTGTAATACACGATTCGGCTACATTGTATATTACAGATCTGCCGTAGTTCTTTATTTATAGAGCCCTGATGAGAAGACCTTTGGAAAAACTGAAGAAATGCCGCCGAAACTGAATACTTGACGTGGATCATAAATATTTCAACAATTAAACAACATCTTCAATTTCTCTTCACACAATACGTCTCCTTGCAGTATCAACACTAATTCGGCTGACTTTTACATTTGATATAATTCATAGATAGGTTATATTTACACCATAACGGTGCACAGCTGATATAAAAGGACTTGTAGTTTTTAAAGATACTACTGATTTGAATTGGATTGAATTTTGAATGTAAGAATGTAAATACTGAGTCTGAAATAGTATAGCAATATGCTGTAAAATTATGTGAAAGCATGAATAAAACTACACATCTTCAGATGTTACATACAAGTGTCCAACACTAATAATACAAAGTTATTATGGCTGTGTGGACCTTGTGTGCACCGCCTAGTGGTTAAAGCACGTTATTGAATTATTGTTTTTATGTGTTATATTTGATTAATATAAATATTAAGAGTACATACTTTCATAGGGGGAAAGTAGAAGGTCTGTGATAGAAATATAGAATATAAAAAATCAAGAAGATACTATAAGTGATCTCTACAATAAAACAGTTTAGTGCAGGATGTACAAAGATATTAATAGGAGGAGGTGCAAAACAGAAAAACGAATTAACCTTTATTTAAACATTAAATAACAGATTAAGGTCTTCTTTTAAATAAGAAAAAAACTTTGGGGGTATCTATCTACAGATAAATATTAAGCCTGACAAAGTACTTAACGTCTAATATATTGCTTTCCTGCAATGTTAACTATGTTGAAGCACTTATTTTAACTGATATTATACATATGGATTATACTCTTATGTAGATAGATATAATAAGAAATGTACAGAATATGACAGTTTAATGGTGGAGGTACACACATATTGATAGATGTCTTGTAATGCACTGTTGAGGAACCTGTGACCCAAGTGTTTCATTCATTGCATAACTACACCGTAGTTGTGTATATGATATGTCAATAAACCTTTGGAAATCTTGAAATCTTGAAAGGGATGTGCAAAATAGCCATAATATGCAGTCTTTAATTAAATATTAGTAGAGAATAACGAGTAATTAATATACTTTATTACTCGTTTCCATTCATGTCAATTGCAGATACATGTTTAGTCTTCTCAAGCACCAACTATCAAATATCTCTCCTGATTGTTGGCACTTGACAATCACCTTACCTGAATTTTACTCAGGTGTAACTAAAGTCTGATTTAAGGGTTGTTTATATTTCACATCATTAATCAGAATCTGCAAAGTAACTCAAATAAGTGTAGTGGAGTAAAAATACCAGGTTAACCTCTGAATTGTAGTGGAGTAGAATTACAAAGTATCAATGAGCTGTCATGTGGGTATATATATTAATGCTATATATTAATGCTGCGCATTATGGACAGCGATTTTCACCCATTTATTAATTATATGTTTTACATTTGATAACACCAATGTGTTTAATACTGGCAACTTCTAATTGTGGGAAAAACGAAAACGTTCAGTAGAGACGTCCCATAGAACATTTTGCGAAACACAATAGCCAGCGTGTAGTTCTGGAGGGCGTTCGATTCCAGTTTTGGATAGTCTGGCGTGGTTTCGTTCCATTTCAAACAGCTGTTTGACGCTCGGCGTAACCTTGGCGCACTGCCACTCCAACATCCAATCCCAGACCTTGAAGATTAATCACGGGGACTGTAGTCCTAAACGATAGCTGGGGATTATGGGTAGTGTAGTGTCTTCGGCCATCCTAAACTCATAGAGGCCTACATCTGTTTCCGGTTATTTTTATTTTGAAATTCAGTTCCTGACGAACGCCAAAAAAGCCCGAGATTATGGAATTAAACCAATAAATAAAAGCAAGGATAATTGTGTGTTATTGGTGAGTAAATAACAGTGTGCTATTTTGAAAAGAATAACAAATTAGAAGGAAAAAAAAGATTAAAAAAATACGAGGCTCTGAGCCCCATTTATTTTCCTCACAGACGGCAACACTAAAGGTCTAAAATAAAGACCTAAATGAATATTTGGGATGTTCTTGCCTTTAGATTCTCCCAATAAGTCCAAGTACAGAGGGTGACTTTGCTGTGAAAAAACACATTTCCACCAAAAAAACGTTAGCAACCATGAATGTGTACACATTCATGAAGTAATCTTCGTCATAACTAGCCAACTAAACATCATGTACATGCACTGCACAAATAATCAGAATTAAAAACTCATTACTCGCATAAAATGACATCAAAACGCATTTTAATGGCCAAATGAACCTTAAAATAGGCATTTTCCACCGAGAATAACACGAAGGTCGGCCATTGTTGTTGATCACGTGGTCTGGGAGCTGTTGCAGCGTCCATAGCAACCACCTTAGCAACCATGCATGTGTACACATTCATGAAGTAATCTTCGTCATAACTAGCAAACTAAACATCATGTACATGTACTGCACAAATAATCAGAAATCAAAACTCATTACTCGCATAAAATGACATCAAAACGCATTTTAATGGCCAAATGAACCTTAAAATAGGCATTTTCCACCGAGAATAACACGAAGGTCGGCCATTGTTGTTGATCACGTGGTCTATGAAGGTCTATGGCAGGCCTATTCAAATGGCGGCCCGCGGGCCAGATGCGGCCCAGGACCAGGGACAGCAGGCCTGGTGGTTGACGTGAGTACGAGATTGAGAGCAGCTGGTGGAATGGCGTCTTTGAGTCCTGGAGAAGAGGATATGAAAAGTGCATCTGAAGGAGAAGGAGGATGGAATGAAGTAAGGAAAAAGACTTCAAGAAAGAAGATAGACATGTCAAGTGACAGTCTTAGTGAATCTGATTCACGGAATGAGTTGAAGAGAGTAAAGAAAAAGAATGAGAATGAAGATTGGAAAGTGATTGTGGAGTTTGGTGAGCAAACCGCAGCTAAGCTACATCCAGTGGCCCTGACTAAAGCAATTCACAAAGAAATTGGATCGATAAAGCAAGCAAGATTCCTGAGCAAAGGACGGATGTTGATTGAATTGATGAATGCAAAACAACAGGAAAAGTTACTGAAAATGAAGACCCTGAATGAAGTTCGAATTAAATGCCATGTTCCTGGAGCAAATCGGAAAATACTTGGAGTTATCAGTGGAGTTCCCATAGAAATCGGCATAGAAGAGCTCAAGAAAGAAATTAAAGGGGGGAAAGTGTCTGTAGTTAAGCGTCTTCCTACTAGGTATCAGGGTAAGATAGTGGATAGTTTGTCTGTTCTTCTTCAGTTTGAAGAAACAATTCAACAGAAGATAATGATCGGTTGCATGAGCTTTCCAGTAAGAGAATTCATCCCTAAATCTCTGCGGTGCTTTAAATTCCAAAGGTTTGGGCATGTGGCAGACAAGTGCAAAGCAACTAAGCCCAGGTGTCCAACATGTGCGGGGGAACATGAATATGGTAGTTGTGCTGCAGGTGCTAAGGTGAAATGTTGTAACTGTGGTGGGGAACATAGTGCTGCGTATCAGGGCTGCGAAGTGCAGAAAAAGGCCAAGGAGGTGCAGAGATTCAAAGTGCAAAATAAAGTCTCATATGCTGAAGCAACAGAAAAGGTTTCCCTAAACATAGCTAGGAAATCCCAAGTAGCAGCAAGTATATTCTCTTCAAAAGATTTTCCCAAACTCACACAGGCAAAGGAAAGCTCCACAAAGTGTTCACATAAATGTGTGATAGGAGAGGATGCATTGATTGTTAATAAGTACAAATTTGTGGCCTTTATTGGGAAAGTGGTGAATGTTGCTTTGCAACAAACAAAAAAGAGGTCAAGACTGAAAACAATAGTGGAAGCAGCAGGTGAATTTTTGGGGATAAATGATATAACCGTTGAAATGATGCATGATATGCTAGCCCCCAATAATGATGATTCACAGATTAGTGAGTAGATGAATGGTTTTTCTCATTCTGCAGTGGAATGCTAGAAGCCTTATTGCAAATGGACAAGAATTCAAGACTTATATATATCAGTTAAAAGAAAAACCAGATGTTATTTGTATTCAAGAAACATGGCTGAAGACTCATTTGGACTTCATAATTGGGGGATATACTGCTATAAGACAAGATAGAAATGATGGCCAGGGAGGGGGATGTGCAATCTTTATCAGAGAAGTAATGTCTTATAGTAGGCTAACATTTAAGAACAGTCATGATTTAGAAATAGTGGGTGTAGAAGTTTGGATTAATAAAAGGAAAATTAGTGTCCTGAATTTTTATAATCCATGTAATAAACTCAAAATAGAGGAATTAGACAGTCTTTGCCAAGGAAATGAAATAATATGGTGTGGTGATTTTAATGCACATAATACAATGTGGGGAGGGAGATCAACAGATTACAACGGACAGGTGGTGGAAGACTTAATGGAGGCAAAGGAATTTGTTTGTTTAAATAATGGGCAAGGTACAAGACTCAATTTTAGAGATGGAACAGAGGCTGCGATCGGCCTAACTCTTGTAACAAGTGAATTAGCTTCGGGTAGCAGTTGGGAAGTATTGGCAAATAACAGTATTGGGAGTGATCATCTTCCGATTATAATCAAGTTTGATATAAGTAATGTGGTTGAGCTAGATGGTATCATGAGATGGACCTTTTCTAAAGCAAATTGGGAGATGTTTGCTAAATTGTGTGATAAAGAATTTGATCAGATTGATATGGCAGGAAGTATTGATGAAATAAATGAACAATTTACTTCAAATATAATTAAAAGCGCTAATCAAACTATTGGGAATAAAACTGGTAACCTTAGTAAATGTGTTAAGATGGTACCGTGGTGGAACAAAGAATGTAATGATGCAATTCGAAACAAAATCAGGCTGTTTGGAAAGCTAAGAAAGACACATTCATTACACAATTTATTAGAATATAAAAAGGCACAGGCTCAGGTAAGGAACATTGTTAAAAGAGCAAAAAGGGAGTGTTGGAGAGGATTCTGTTCAAGTATTGGGAGAACTACACCATTAGATAAAGTATGGGGAATGGTTAAGAAGATGAGGGGAATAAGACAGCAGAGTAACCTGCCAGTGTTAGAGAATGGAGGGGAAATTGCCACCGGTGCTATGGAAAAGGCAGAAATTCTAGCTAAGAATTTTGTCAAAGTTCATTCTTCGGAAAATTTGACAGAAGAAGGTAAGATCAGGAGGCAGGAAGTGTTAGATGAACATCCTAATGTATATGAAGATAGACATTCGTTGCAGAGTGTTGTAAATATACCTTTTTCTATTCAAGAGGTGAGAAGAGCATTAAGTAAGTGTAAAATGACTGCTCCTGGGAAAGATAATGTATGCTATATAATGTTGACCAAATTAAGTGATTTTGCATTAGAAAAGCTGCTGGAGATGTACAATAAGATTTTGGAGAAAAGGAAGCTGCCAATAATATGGAAAGAGTCTGTCATTATTCCTATTAGAAAACCTGGGAAAGATCCAACCAGTCCAGGCAGTTATAGACCTATAGCTCTGACATCGCACTTGTGTAAAGTTATGGAAAGAATGATAACAGAAAGGCTGACATACTACATTGAGAAAAATGAACTAATGACTCCTTATCAGAGTGGGTTTAGAAGAGGGCGGAGTACTTTAGATCCATTGCTGTGCCTGGAGTCTGAAGTCAGGAAAGCACAAGCGAATAAGGAGTGTGTTGTAGCTGTATTCTTTGATGTGGAAAAAGCTTACGATATGATGTGGAAGGAAGGATTATTAATAAAACTGGACATTATGGGTCTGGGAGGTAATGTATATAATTGGATTATGGATTTTTTGTTTGGCCGTGCCATCAGAGTCCGAGTTGGCAATTCATATTCTCGAAGGCATGACGTTGAAAATGGAACCCCGCAGGGGTGTGTAATTAGTCCCCTTTTGTTTTCTATCATGATAAATGATATATACACACAAATAGGATCTGATATTGGTAAGTCACTTTTTGCAGATGATGGAGCTATTTGGAAAAGGGGCAGAAATGTAAAATATATTGTAGCTAAGATTCAGGAAGCCATTACGGAAATTGAAAGCTGGTCTCTGACATGGGGGTTTAGATTGTCGGTGGAAAAAACTGAAACTTTATTTTTTACGAGGAAAAGGATAAGTGAGGAGGTTAGGTTAAAACTTTATGGACAAGATCTAAAGAAAGTGAAGACATTTAAATTTCTGGGAATATGGTTGGACGAGAGAGTCACATGGAGTACGCACATTGATCAAGTAGTGGATAAATGTAAAAGGGTTTTAAATGTTATGAGGTGCTTGGCAGGCACTAAGTGGGGGGCTGATAAAGCTGCTTTGAGGAACGTATACACAGCCTTAATTAGATCAGCCATAGAATACGGACTAATAGTGTATGGTTCAGCTGCATATTCTTCTCTTCAAAAATTAGATAGAGTCCAGGCACAAGCACTAAGGATATGCTGTGGGGCAGTCAGATCTACACCAGTGTCTGCACTTCAGGTAGAGGTCGGAGAAATACCAATTTCTTTGAGGAGAAAACAGTTAATTGTTCATTACTGGGCAAATCTTCAGGGCCATAAAGATACTCACCCTACCAAACAAACTGTACAAACAAGTTGGGAAAGTAACAAAATAAAAAAAGAAAGTTTTTGTGTTTGTGTTTCGGAAATATGTAAGGAATTCAAAGTTAAAGAATGGAGTATTAGTCCGACGGTGGTGTTATCAGCTGTTCCACCATGGTTGCTGCCTCAACCTATAGTCGATTTATCACTATTGAAACGGTTACATTCAATGAAAAACAAAATCAATGTACAGGCTTATGTGAACACTGTTCTACATGAACAATATGGGCAGTTTATACAAATATTTACTGATGGATCCAAAAATCCAGAAAATGGTCTAACTAGTTGTGCATTTTATGTTCCTGAATTAAAAGTAAAAGTGGGAAAGCGTACGAGTGATCACATTGCAGTATATACAGTAGAGATGATGGCTATCTCACTAGCACTTCAGTGGGTAGAGGAAACACAGCCAATGCGAGTGGTCATTTGCTCTGACTCCAGTGCAGCTCTGGAGAGCATAAACAACTTCTCTTCAGAATGTCGTCAGGATATTTTACATGAAATTTTACACATCATGTTTAGGTTAGTTCATCTGGGAATTGTTGTTCAATTTGTGTGGGTTCCAGCGCATGTGGGTATTAGAGGGAATGAAGTAGTGGATCAACTGGCAAAATGTGGTTTGAAAGCAAACCAGATTGATATTATGGTACCCATCAGTCGATCAGAAGTCAAATCTGTTACAAAAGTGGTTATCAAGCAACAATGGCAAAAACTATGGGACAGTAACATCAAAGGAAGACATTTATACCAGATACAAAGGGAAGTAGGAACAGGAAGCACTTGGGGGAGTAGTAGAAGAGAACAGAGCATTAACAGCAGGATAAAATTGGGACACTCTGGATTAAACTCATCACTGCATCTGATTGGGAAACATCCAAATGGCAATTGTGATGGTTGCCAACAACCAGAGACAATACAGCATGTATTTTTTAGCTGCCTGGAATATACAAGGCAAAGACTCATTCTGAAAACTGCACTGGAACAACTCAACGTCAAGGACATGGATTTCAAATCAATATATGAAAGTAAATCAAGAAATGAAGCAAACAAGCTGATCTTCAAATTCCTCAAAAGCACTGGTTTGAGGACAAGGATTTAATATGAACATTTAATAACTCAACAGTAGGTGGCGATATATGCTCCAAGTGGAAGCGATTCACCATTAAAGAGAAGAAGAAGAAGATGCGGCCCAGAACCAACTCCCGAGTGGCCCAGCTAGCCTCCTGTAGCCAAATTCCTACACTAGTACCATGAACGCAACACTCCGCGTTGCATAGAAACCACTAAACCACAACGCAGCACGTTTTTTGAAAGTGCATCTAGTGGTGCTAGTAACGGTGGTCCTATGATAGCAACTCTAAAACATGTCTCTCTCAACTCTGAAGCGTAAACAGAGACAACCCGGTCATTGATCTTGTGGAGCAGATGCGCGCATTCCAAGTCAAGCTGCCGCTGGACCTTTTCGCGACCGACTTGAGTACGGGTTAGAAGCTGCATTTTCCGACGCTCCACAAACACATCACATCCCCGGCACAAATCACGGATGTGATGACAGATTTCATTGCGAGGTTGAAAGAGAACTTTGCCGGTCGATTGGATGGACTTGCTCTGCCCACAGAGGTGATGCCAGAGACCCATTCACTGTTGCAATAGACGGGGACGTATCAACCAGAGCAAAGGAAGTGGTCCCCTGCATCGACGAGGGGACACTTACACTGGAACTTATTGACATGCATTCATCCGTAACCATGGCACAAGAGCAGCGCACTAACGGGCCAGCGAAGTTTTGGAGTGATGTCAAAAAACAGCAGTTCCCTAACGTTCAGAAAGTAGCGATCTGTGTGCTCAGTATGTTTGGATCAACATACAAATGTGAATCAAGCTTTTCACACATGAACTCAATCAAAAGTAGCACTCGCTGCTCCCTGACTGACAGCACTCTTCACCAATGTCTTAGGATTGCATTGACATCCTGAGCCAAAAATCACTGCTCTTGTTCAAAACAAAAAATATCACATTGAGAAAGTCAGCGATGACAAATCACAAATGAGGTGATAGTAAGCACCTAGTTTACTATAGTAGACGTGTAGTGTAGTATTCATTCATATGTTAGTTACCATTATCCCTTGTTATGGGTTTGTGCACTGAAGGGTTTGACAGTTATTTCTGTATTAATTTAAATGCACTTTGTAATGTGTCTGGGTCCAATGTGACCAAAACGTATGATTTTGTTGTTATTACTTGAAAAGTGAAAAAATACCTAAAATAGTATAGGTAGCCTACTACCTCTTTTTGTTACATTGGAGCTCTTTAACTGTTTGCATGTGTCATTATGTATCCAATTTTATTTTTGTATGTGAGGACATTTATTAAGACTGCTATTATTGTATTCAGTTAAATGCACTTTGTGATGTGCCTGGTTCAACAAAAAAACATGAATATTTGACTTCTAAAGCAAACAAATGTAATGCTACAACTGCACTTTTTTCAGATTCTGTTAAATGAATGCTAATTTGTTGTGTTTTTATGCACTTTTTGACCTTTGTTAGATGAACAATGAATACAAATTGCATGTTTTTCATCGCAGTAATATGTGTTGGTTTAAAATGTATCATTACCCGCTTTTTACAGGCCGCTGAATGTCTGGCCCAGCTGAATTTTGTAGTTATAAAATCTGGCCCAACTGAATGTGTAATTGAATAGCCCTGGTCTATGGGACGCCCTGCCCGTAGAAGCCTGACGGTCAAGGGGTCCGCTCCGCTGTACGTAATATAGCGACGGGGAGGGGCCCTGACTGTGTGTGTGTGTGTGTGTGTGTGTGTGTGTGTGTGTGTGTTGTGTGTGTGTGTGTGTGGTGTGTGTGTGTGTGTGTGTGTGTGTGTGTGTGTGTGTGTGTGTGTGTGTGTGTGTGTGCGTGCGAGAGCTGGCGTACTTCCTGTAGGTGTGACGTTATTGCTCATTGTTACCGCACTTATCACTCAGTGGTGGAAAAACTGCATTGGACCACGTTTATAACAACTTAGAAGTACCTGTACAGCTGTACTATACCTGATTATTCCCATGTTTATTACCTTATACTCCACTTTATTTAATTGACAGCTAGAACCACAGGTCACTTTGCAGATAATGATTATCACCACAAACACTTGTTCATTTAACTTTAAATAATGACAGAACCATTTGCTGTTCAAAGCAATTTTTATTAAGACACGTGCATTACGCCATTTTTGCAAAAAGCTCTCTTATTTCAACATTGCTATCAGCAAGTACAACTGAAACCAGTTTTCAGAGGTGGGAAGTCACTAAGTACATTTACTCAAGTATTGCACGTTAAGATACTTGTACTTCAATTGAGTATTTCCATTGTATCCTACTTCAAAACATATATCATTATGAAATGGGTCGATCTGCATAATGAGTAGGCTACTTTTACTTTTGGTACTTTAAGTATATTTTGATGCTTATACTTTTCTAGTTTTATTTGAGTAACATTTTGAATACAGGACTTTTACTTGTAACTGAGTATTCCTACACTCTGGCATTTCTACTTTTACTTAAGTGCAATATCTGAGTATACTTCTCCCACCTCTGCCAGTTTTTATACAAGAAGACAGAGAAGTTATCAGCATTTATATTGATAATCTATTTGTTATTTTTAAGAAGAAAACAAGCTACTTGATGACATGGTTTGAGTATTTAAAGACTACCATTATTAAGAAAACAATCAACAGCTAAATTAATAATAAAATCATCATGAGTTGCAGCAGAAAGGCCTCCAGTCCACACACTTCCTCTTTCCTCAGAGTCCACTGTTGACCGATTTAAATCCTATTTGAAAAGGGAAAAAAAAGTGTCAAATGTGAATCTGTTGAGTGTACAATATTCCCAGTCAACTCTGAGCCTCCTTTATTTTTGGATTTAATACTATAACACTCAGATTAGAGATTGTGATATTTTACAGACCTACCTCTTTTTTTGTAGCACTAAAAAGAAAATTAAAAAAAGCTATTTAAAAAGATAAATGTGACATATTACATTTACAAACATTATACATTGTTATCCTTTGAATTTTGTAGAATAGACTTTACTTGGAATATGTAAGACCTAAAATATATTCAATGACTCGTGCAGAAACTCGATTTGATATAATTCAGTCTCAATGATTATTGAAAGTTGTGTGATTATTGAACATATTGAGTCAGACTTACATGATAGGAGATCCCCAGCGCTGCCAACACGATCAAAAAAAGCACTGAAAAATAAAAACACATATAGCTGTCATGTTGGATCATCATGTCAGGCCATGCAGCTTATCAATAACCATATTCAATTGACCTTCAGTGCTATTGTTAAATACATACCAAAGCTACAAATCAATCCAAGATGTGCATTCACAGTTGAATGTTCACCTAAAGAAAAGAAGAAGCAATTCAACTGTTAATAACCGAACATAAATCATTTAAATCAAAAGTAAAATACATCTTTGTTTGTTGTTGTTACCTATCTTAACCTATGCTGCCTATATCGGTTGGTAATAAAAAAGACTGTTTCAATCAAAACTGAAAGTTATAATCTCCATTATGGTAGGATTTGATGCAGGACTGCGTATTAATGTTACTAACAACTGGTGTGTATTATCCGTCAAGGGGTGAGCCACTTTAAAGAATAACAAACATAGACTGCCTCGGCTAACTTCATAGAAATACGATTAATGAAATAAGACATTACACAACATGGAAAAGGGCACAGTCATGCAGTTTAGCCATAAAAATATTAAATTGACGTTTAGTGCTTTGATTAAATACATACCAAAGTTAGAAATCAATCCACGACGTGTGCTGTCATGCACATTTGGATTTGGTGAGACATTAGACAGTGAGACACTTGGTTGTGAGGTTGAGCCAGGGGGCTGCAGCTTTACACCTAAAGAAAAGAAAGTCATTTAACTGCTAATGACCAAACAGCAATCGTTTGGCTCAAAAGTCAAATACAAAACTGATTAGACAAGACACGATGCAAGAGAATAGTTGGCTAATTAAGTTAGCTAAATAATTACCTGGCAGAAACCTTATTTTCTGTTGTTTTAACAATTCTTAAATTGTATATTTTTAAATTGTGTCGTTTTTGCAAAATGTAATATTGTTATTTCAATGCTGCTGGAATATTATGTTTATGCAGCCCCGATGCTTAAAAAACCTATAGAGGGAGCTCAGTGTGAAACTAGATGTTTAAGAAAACAGCAGAGATCATGTTTAATACAATTGTATACGTACATTTTAAGGAGAAGGTGCCAATGTTGATTCCATTGCTTCCTTCCAGGTCTATTTCTCCAATGTGCTCTGAGCAGAAGATGTTGATGGAAGAAGACAGGTCCAGGCACACAGTACAGTTATCACCAGGTGGAGAGATTTCAGAGCATCTTGGAAACTTTGTATTGTCTCCTTGGTAAATCTCTTTGGGATTAAGGTAAACCCGGGAATCATATATTTTCTTCAATTTACTGCATCCGTCCTTGTCCTTGCAGGTATAGCATTTGCCTGCGGTGGGGTGAATGTCTCTACATTTACAATCTTGATCTGCTGAAGAATGAGCCCCATGTCAGAGAGTATCAAATATGAGTTTAAAACACTGTGCATTAAAGCAGTTTTCAATGTTCATTACAATTAAAAATACTTTGGTTCATATTCAATGCAATCAAACCTAATTAAAGAAATACATTTAGGAGTGCTCTGCATATAGTGTTACATTACTAAATCCACTTTTCAACATGTACCAGAAGAGCCCTCAGAGACACCAACAGCCATGAATGCAATCACAAGTAGTAACAAGGGAAAAACACTGGAACACTGGAACACTGGAAAAAAACAGAGGAAAAAAAATGTAGTTTTCCTCATCAAATGGTTGTATTACAGTTCATAAATTAATACATATTATACCTGAGACACATAACAATTATACACTCAGTGGCCACTTTATTAGAAACACTACATGCAACACAAAACAAAATACACTGCCATAAAGTCTTCTTGTCTAATAAATCACTTAAGCTCTATTTATAAAGGACCATTCGAACAAATAAAATGCACTTTAGAGTGCTTGGGACAATTGAGTATGTTAAGAGTAATACATTTTTAAAGTATGTTGTATTGTGTTTACAAGAGGAGTTAATTTGATTCTATGTGTTACTATTGTGGTCAGAGTTAGTGGATGTGTTGTGATGTATTGTATTACATTATAAGCAGAGATGTTTTCTATATTCTGACCCTCTTGTCTAAGTGAATAGAGAGGACAGTAAACATTTGAAACATTTCTTAATAAACGTATAATTGAAGCAACACATTCCTGACAACACCCAAACCTTAAGAGGTCTTTGTAATGAATTTATGGAATAGCTGTTGTTTTTAACTGTAATATTTGAATAGGTAGTAGTAGTAGGTTTCGCATTTTACGGTATGTGCCTATGTATTTACGTAATGATAAGAGTAATGATGAGAAATGCATGATATCCAATTCATTCAATAAAAACTATCAGAGGAAATAAAAAAATGCTTTGTACAGGCGCGATAAAGTAGCCACTGAGTGTGTAATAAAACACTGCATATGCATGTGCACATTATTCTATACAATTAAAATAACTAAAATTGAAATATATTTTCAAGAAATGCATTTTTAATCATATAAAATGAATACAAATGTAAATGTAATTACCTTTCCAGTGCATTGGAGCAGTTCTTCCCTTGCTTCTCCCTTCTCTGCCGACCACTGTTTGACCTTTGGGTGTTTCAGGGATTTCCCCAGAGTCCATCTTAGTGCAGCTTTCATCTCCTTCTACCTTTGCATGCTCCTCTGTAATGGCTGTCTTGCCGGATACGATCTTGACAGCTTCCTCTTCTGGGATGTTGTCTGTCACAGCTTGGGTGGGCGGTTTTTGGAACTCCTCTTCAGCAAACACAGTGTGTGTTTTTGGACCAGTAGCATACTCAGACACTGAGGTGTGCGACCACGGGACAACTGTGCTTCTTTCCTCCTTAGGAATTGGTTTCACACAGCTGCCCTTATCTGCTACAGGCAGAGGCGCACTTCCATTGTTATGATCAATGAACGTGTGCTTCATGTTGGAGGAGAGGCCATCATCACTGTATTGAAAAGGGAAATGAATCAAACAAATGATGATATATAATGAATCTCTGGGATGGTGAAAAACCGAATTTCGGCCTCCCTGTCTGTGTAACACAAATAGAGGAATCGACAATAAAGGTGACTTTGACTTAGTGTAGGGAATTATTGTACTTGAGTACTTTTTTGACATAGTTGTACTTTACTTGAGTATTTCCATTTAATACTACTTTATACTTCTACTCCATCACTCACAGTTACTATATATGCTGATATGGTATAAAGCAATGCTGTACTACTAGTCTACCCAGTATTAAATGCTGTTACATGTATAAAAACAGGAAAACATGATACCCATAATAATATGATACTGTGAAAAGATCCATTCACAAGTCATTTAACTTTTGACACTTTAAGTACATTTAGCTGATAATACTTCTGTACTTTTTATCATTCTGAAATGGGTCAGTGTGCAGAATTAGTTATTTTACTTTGCTTTTACTTATTGTGGAATATTTTAATACCAAAATAATTGTACTTTTACTTGGGTTAAGGTTCTGAGAACTTATTAACAGTATATATATATTATATATATGATTTCAGGTTATATATATAAGATATATAACCTGAAATCATGAAAACATGATATTCAGATTCAAAATATTTACCAATAAGATCTACATTTTCCAAAGTCTCTGTACACTTTAAAGTCAATATAAATCAGAAACGCACAGTATTACTTCAAAAGTACAAACACATACTCATGCACACAGGCCATAAGACTGCTAAACTCATGAGCTTGCACCATTTTTATTGTTTTGTTTTATGTCCTATATATATTTATGTTGCATTGTTGGAGGAGCCTGGGACTTGTTGTTTAATGCATATCTACACTGTAGCTGTGAATATGCAATATAGCCCTTTGAACCTTTTAACATGTTGCACTCATAATGTTAATAACAAGGTTGAGGTCAGGAATTGAAAGAAAAATCTCATACCCGCTCTCCTGGGTGTGTAGGCCCTGGCCACCTACAAGTGTAAAACATAAAAACAGTTGAACTACTTATAATAGTTATCACTTACAAAACTGATAAGATGCGAATTAAAAAGTCATACACACACAAATGATAGCATTGTTGTTGATAAAACCACATAACAGGAACTTCCTGCGTAGGAATTGTATTACTGCGTCACAATTGCTTATGTTGTTTTTCTAAAATTGTAACTAGCAACATTTCAGATTAACAAATATGAACACAATCATTTCTGTGGTCACTGAAGTTAACAAAACTTGTGATTTGTTTAAAAACAACATTAGCTTCGTCCTTAGAGTGCACAGGCCGGTTTGCATGCTCGAATGAATGACTCTTGCAGCAGGCCTTAACACTCAGCACATAACCCACCAAATGCATTTAAATGATATAATTAAAATAAAGAAACTTACTTTGCAGCTGAGGTTGGAGAAAATCATTGGTTGGTTTGGTCATGGTTTTGTTTTTAAAATGATCAACAGAGGCTAAGATGTTCCTTGGTAGTGATACGAGATAGAATGGCCAGCACCAGGAAATGCTCATGGATTCCCGTAAACGTCACCATTAATTTGTAATACATGATCTCCATCTGGTGGAAACAACATATCATTATCTCTATTGAAGTACACCCCACTGCCTGATGCAGCATGTTTACCCCGGGGGAAAGTGTGTTTGTAATGTTTCTTTAACCTTCTCTTAAATGTCCTAATCCACCTGTTTGACAGCATTTACTGGTGTTTCGGGTGCTCTTATTCCTCAGAGGACAGTGGATTTGTACAAATAAGATATTCTTTAAGAACCATCAAAATACATTTAGCTATAGATTAACATGTGCAACCAATCGGATTCAGAAGTGAAAGAAAGATCCATCCTATTTCTGTTCATGAACATGTGAACATGACCTACTTCTCAGGGTTTTTTGCACAAATATTCATTGCAGTTTAAAGTCAACCGTGTCCCAATTTCACTGAAGAAGCATCAAGTAAATTAAACTAGCATGATAAACCCTACACTGCAATGTTTCTGTGGTTATCACTTTGTTTGTTTCTTGTTTTGCACTATAGACAAAGAAATACATTTAAATTAATAAACAAATGCTGATTCCAGTATGAAAAGTGCTGATTCCCAGTGAAATTCTAAACCAAAGAAAAACAGCAAAATATTGTTTAAAACAACTCACACTTACATTCAATAAAGCCACACTTTTTTTAAAGATCCTATTATCACTGCAATAACAAAAATAGCCTAGAGTACTAATACTATATGTCTGATGTAAATAATAAAAAGCAAAAGTCATACAATATTATTGAGAGGCTTATGTATTTAGATCCAAGAACTAACTAACTAAGAAGTTAAAGATGAAAACGAGAACTTGAAGTGAATTGAAGACGTCTTTTAAGACTGTGTGACGACTTGTACGGCAGCTTTTTGATGTGCTGAGACATTGCCATTTAAACCTGAGTCTTTGAACGGGGCCTCGGTTACATTTCTCATCTGGAAACTGACTAATAGCCTACTGCCTGCCAATCACAGTACATTTACGGTTTGTTTACTGGTTGAACAAAAGGGCGTGTTTAACTTCAACTGGGTGTGGAGCTAATACAACTTTTGATGAAAAAACAACAACACCCACGTGCTTCATATAACGACAGATGAATGAAAAATTGGAGGAGAAATCTCAATAAATTAATAATTAAAAAATGAACCGATTTTGCTCTGACCATGTGAGAGTCACTGCACAGACCAAGACAACACAGCCTTTAACATCCTTTCACAATCCTTTAACACAATCTTCTGATATACAGTCCAATCTGACATGTATCCATTAGTTTTGGGAGACATGAACATCAGTAGGATGTGTCTTCTGGATACCAAGCATATCAGTGCAACACTTATGATGAATAAAGTGACATTTTGTAGAATCAACACAGCACACCTGCAGTTAGTGCTAGTCCTGTTTCTCTCTCTCTCTTTCGTGTAACGTCAGAGGTCCAACTCGGTGTTGTGTAGCCATGCCCGCATCTCTGGTCCTATACGTCGAAGAGGCTGGCTTCCGAGGGTGGTCTATATAAAGGGCAGGTGGTTATTATTAGTGCTGTAGCGACGCGTCGACTTCAAAATATCGTCGACGACATATTTCCGCGTCGACGCGTCGCCACCATAGACTGTATGACGCCACACACACGTGGGTCACCCAAAGCAACAAGCAGTTCGCAATCGCACTTCTAACACAATGGAGACTGAAACGGCTACCAACTCCTCCTCACAGGATTGCGCACGAAGCCCTCAAACGAAAACATCTCGCCCTAGGTCTTCAAAAGCATGTGAATATTTTAAAGTTAGTCCAAAACGCAAAGATATTTATATCTCACTGAGACTGCTGCTTGACCGGAAGCAGCAGCTAGCTGTGGTGGCAACCATTAGCAGCTAGCATTTGCTCTCCGATTTAAAATGGAATTATGGATTATAAATTCAATAATTGTTTTATACATAGACGTTAAAAACCTATGGATTAACCGATTCAGCCGCGTTTTTTCTCATTTGAATGCCATTGAACACGTCTTTTGATCAGATTGACAGCTACGGCGGTGAGACGATCTCCCTAGAAGCTCTGTGAAGGTACGTGTTGTGATGACTGTATTTGCTTCCCCTGTCGCGAGTCCGGATCACTCAGTGATGATACTATGTACCTACATAATCTGTGGAGTCTCAGCTTTAATCGGATATATTGTATGTGCAGCTACGATAAGTAATAAGGGTACTTTTATCTTGAGTTCTGTGCCAATGTCCGTTAGCATTTTTCGCTCAGGGGTCATTTAGATGCTTCTTATGAGACTTGTGTTTTGTTTTGGTAAACATGGTTTGTATCGTCAGTTAGCTGAGATTATTTCTGTTAATCTGGTATAACACATTAATAGGTTCTTAAATATTAAGATCCCTGAGACACAGTATCGTGAAAAAAAATATTTTACATTACGTTTTTTTTACATTACGTTTTTTATGAATTGAACAACAGAAAAATAATCGTTCGATTAGTCGACTAATCGATCAAATAATCGCCCGATTAATCGTTTTCAAAATAATCGTTTCCCCCCAGCACTAGTTATTATATGTTATCCTGTTTCTCTAATGGGGATTTGATTTGAATATCTGTTGAAATGCAACATGAATTTGATTTGCCTTGAAAATAATGTTTTATATAAAAACTGAAAATATAATATTTGTGGTGCTCAAAGTTTTGTGGCTGCGTCCATTCTTTTTAGGGATGCTCTGATCGCCAATTTTGGGGCCGATCGCCGGAATCAGTATCGCCGATACCGATCACCGATCCGATCGAGTGGGCGGGGCTTCCATTTGAAGTGATGTACTCAGTTAATGGGGCTCATTCACTGGCGCTTCCACAAACAACAACCAACATAATTATTACATTCAAATGAAGTACATTATTCAAGTTGACATTAACTTTGGATAATAACACGGGAGAAATGAGCGGAAGCGCTCTCTTTTCCTCTCTCCCCCTTGCTCTCTCTCTCCTGACAGCCTGTCAGTATCTCATGCAGCTCACTGATCCAGTAATGAGTGACCCGACAGTGAAGAATAAATATATGTATAGGCCTAACTAGTTTAGCTTGTTCCAGAGGTAGATAAAATAGCTACGTGTGTTAGGTCTAACTAAGTGTGTGTTTTGCTCCGCCCACCGGTCCGTCACAGCGGGTGGAGCTGCAGGATTTCTGCTTCACACATTTGACGTCATGCAATCGGCTCTCGCGATCGGCATTTTAAGAGAGCACCGATCGATCGGTAGAGAGAGTGAGTATCGGCTGATATCGATCGGCGGCCGATCGATCGGAGCATCCCTAATTATTTTCAAGTAGGCCTATTAATTGCAATATTTTAAATGATAAAGTGCTCACATTAGATTACATTTATTTATTGCGTGAGAACATTAGTGAGTTAAATTAGATATAAGTAATCTGACCCATCCTCTGTGTCCTTATAGGCCCATCATTTCATAATCTGTCCACACCTCTCACGTACAGTTTAGGCACTATACTGTAAATCTACTATATTTAATTAATCGGTGTTGCTTCCACCAGGTGATCAGTTTGAAAATTCCCCTTTATCGTGGCTTTGTACATGCAGCATCATCCACGCAGTCACATGTCCTTTTGTTTATGAAAAATAATTGTATTCTCATTGGTTGTACACTATTCATATCTCATACCATCTCTGAGCTATTATTCAGGAATAGATGACTATCATTTCCTGGAAGGCCATGACTCAGATCCAAGGAGGTGTGGAAAAACAGGTAGGCCTACAAAAGGAAGCAACCCTGTTCCCTCTTGTTCAGACCTGACACAGCTGCTTTCACTCCACAGCAGGAAGGATTCCCTCTTCAGTAGAAAGGTAAGCACCTTAACGGCTTTCTGTAACATATGTAAAGGTCGATTTTTAACAACTTCGTTACATTTAGTAATAACCTCTTTGGTCTTTGTTACCCTTTCCGGGGTAAACGAGTCAGACCAGAGAACCTCAACTACCAGATATAAGATGTTACGAAACATAACAGAATGTACTAGTTCACTAGTCGCAGTAGGCCTACTCCCTCCGTCTGTGAGACGTCAGTCACTAAAGTATGAGTATTAATTCTAAAGCTTTTAGCTAGGAACATATGTATGACACATGTATGAGCAAACACTGTGTCCGGGATAATACAAATATAAACTTTCTTGTGGACTAACCAGTTTGTCAGCTTTTTTGTATCTTCCTGTTATGTAGGCTAACACATAACCGTGGGTCTTTGCAAAATGATCAAGGACTTAAGTTGCTTTTAAGTCTTTTCACTGGAGGCCCCTCTTCTGTCTTAAAAAAGATAAACATGTATGTTTAGATCAGACAAGGCTTAGTTGTGTTAAGTGATCTAAACCAGTGGTTCTCAACTGGTGGATCGCGACCCAAAAGTGTGTCGCGGACCCGTTTTGAGTGGGTCGCAGATGTGTGAATGAAGGGGGGGGGGGGGGGGAATATAGCCTATATATATTTTTTTTTTTTGGGAAAATGGTCAAACTTTTATTTTGAAGACCCGATTTTCTAACGCTGTGCATGCAGTCGGCGTTGGACTGGAAGTACCGGAAACCATAAACGGATTTGAAAACTTCTGTCACGTAGTGATCATCTTCTCAATAAAACATCTTTGCTGATGTTTTTTCGAGTCTTCTGGCCAATCAGAATCAAGATTGTTGCCGGAAGTCCCGACGGAGAATAACTTTGATGTAGAACTACTCTTTATCCATGGGTACAACTTCAGATACAAATAAACACATAATGAAATATGATCCCCGGTTTGATGATTGACAGGTCGCAGAACAATGGGAGCTATCTACCCACAAAGTAATTCACACCGACTATCTCCTCTTTGCTCTTCTCTCTGTGAGGAGCAGCAAGCTGTCGGAAAAAAGTGAAAAACAAACAATGGCATAAAATATTATTAATATGTCAGGTAGTAATAGTATTTATTTTCTTCTCAGAGTGTACCAGAATGCGTAGTTTATATGTTAGTATTTCTAAAAATCTCCTGGGGTAGAATCCCCCCAGACCCCCCTTCTGGGGTTGGGTTTTCAGCATGTGTGCCTTTTTATGACAGTTCATCTTTGATTCCATCATCTCATTAAACCTTATTTAAAAGCATTCTTTAGTTATGTGAAGGGATATAAGGGATATATGCACTGACACTGTACTTCACTTTAATTCATAATGTATGTGGAAAAGCGTATATTACAGCACGATTTTTTGTTGAATAGATTTGAGTGGTTAAAAAATGTTGGGTCGCGATTTATTGACAAAGGAAAAAGTGGGTCCCGAGGCCTGACCAGTTGAGAACCACTGAAACATTGGTTAGGCGATTTTAACTCCTACTGAACTGATGGGTTAAATGCAGAGGCTACACTTAAATGTGTGTACTGTGCTGGGTACATGTGTGGCGATAAAAAGTGGTTTTGATCCAAATCCAAGCACACAGTCTAACTAAACAACATTGACACTCCCTCACTGAACATTTGATCAAATGTCTTTGCCTGACTTTTGACAGGTCCATTCACGCTGAAAGATGCCTGGATGAGAACTACCAGTAGTGTTATAAATTCATTGCGATTGAGTCTTCTTTCACTTGGATACAAATCTAATATTGAATTGAATACTTTTATATTTGTAATTCAAGATTTATCTTCAAAGAAATTATCTTAAGAATCAAGATTAAGTAGTGTAAAATGGCAACATTAACCAAAAGTAGGCTCTAACATTTTAGGAGAAAACTCAGTCCTTTTTTATTGTAGACTGTTTTGATTTAGTTCGGTATCTCTCTTAATAACCTTAAAAATGTACCTGATATACAACGCGGATTGGAATTCAATTTATCATGAGTCGTCTGTTTGCTTGTCAAGATAACATAATCTTAACCCTTGCTGTTATTTGATCTGTTCTTGTAGTCACAACAACGAACACATAGCAAGTATGCAAAGAAAACCTTCATTGGCCAACAGGAACAGCGCTCACAAACAGTCTATAGAACAGCATCTAAAACATCTTCATACCAATATGTTGAACATGTTCTAAACCAAACTGCCAATAAGTGTGGAGGAGCCTTTTAATAAAGTAATATCGTATAGTATCGTATTTTCTGCTGTTTAGTCCTCTGTAATTAAATGTTTTGAGGTTGAGCATATTTATTGTCAAAATGCCCTCACAATCTACCTCCTATCAACTAGATGGCGTACTCCACCGGAACAATCGCGGAAGGCTGTTTTGGGAAGGTCTACAAGCAGAAGTACAACGATACCTGGGCTGCTATAAAGAAAGTCCCGCAACACCTCATCAGACAGTACGACCTGGAGAGAGAGAGTGAAGTGTACAAGTAAGTACACGTGATTTAGTTATGTTTGCAGACTCAAAAGAAAGCCAAGCAGGATATAAAAAGAGAAAGAGAAATAAACACAAATATAATGTAAGTGTATACCTTATAATGCAATAAGTTGCAATTCTTTAGACTCAACTCTTATCCAATACCAAAAAAGACAAAAGTAGATTATCTTCCAACAAAATATGTGGCAAGGGTGAACCAGTCTTTTACTTCTAGGTCTCTCTTAAACACAATTACCCTCTATACGGGTACCCAGTAAGTATCTAGTTGATTCTTAATTTGATCTTATTTGTCTTTTTCTCTGTCTCTCCATGAATTGCCACCACTGATCTGCAGGAAGGCAAATCATCCAAATATTGTGAAGCTACTGGGGAAAATAAATCTCAAAGACGGAAAATGGATTATTCCTTTAGAGTTTATCTTTGGAGAAGACTTGGAGATCACCATCTTTAAAGCATCACAGTCTAAAATACAGGTAAAGTTATCATGTCAACAAACAATAGCTTCGCAATTCTTCAGAACAGCAGTTTCATTGAGCCCTGAAGGAAAATGGTGTAACCTAATATGAGAAAAGTTGATTTGACTCTAATGTGGCTCATACTTGATGCCAGTCTGGTTAAAGTTGATCTAAAATGTCTGTCTCTTGCAGTTGACTCCCTCTATCAAAGGAACTATCATCACCGGCATGTGTGAAGGGCTGTACCACCTTCACTCCAAAGATATTGTCCATCAAGACCTCAAGCCTGAAAACATCATGGTGAGTGGAGGCCTGTGCAGACTGTCAGCATGCAAAAAAACCCAGAGATTTACAGGGGACATATAGTCCTGCCTGAATATGTAACTATAAGATGACATTACATTTTATTAGAGATATCAATGGAGCTTAATTAACTAATCCTAATGATTTTTGCTCAATGTCTGATATTTCCTCTTGCGCCACGACGAAGTTTACATTTCCAGATTTTAATAAAACGTCTTACCAACTACTGACATGAGATTTAATACACACTTTTAAAAAACCCTCAGGATAACTTTGGTGAGCCCTTAACCTTTCATCCAGCTACATCATTAGGTCTAATATTTAATTTGTTTAATATGACTAAATACCGGCAGCCTCAGATGGACTTAGTTTTAAATGCTCACTAAAAAAGAATACCATGCTAACAAGCTAAACTGGTGGAGCTGGTAGTATGGCTGTAGACTATCCCATGATACTTGTAATCACTGGGCAGTAGCTGAAACCGAATGACGGCCTTATTGCACGTCTATCCGCTTTTAAATCTCTGTGAATTGTTTTTTAATTTTGTAAGAATATAAATTCAATAAAGTTCATGTGTCCTTCAGGTGGAGCATGACACAAACAGAGCGGTCATCATCGACCTGGGATTGGCTAAGTTCTTCCGGTATGGTCAAAACTCTGCCATAGAAGGGGGTAATGAGGCGTACTCTGCCCCTGAGGTTCTGCAGAGGGGCAGTCAGAGGGACCAGCGCTCAGACGTGTGGGCCATGGGTAAAATCATCGCCGAGCTCTGTGCCCGGGTCCGGCTGTACACGCCCAGCGTCTGTCCAGCTAAGATCAACGATATCCTGAAGGATCAGCCTTACTGCCATGTTGTGTGTAGGATGGTGAATCCCGACCCTACTCTGAGAGCCTCCATGGGTGGGGTCATGAGTGAGATAAAAAGGGTCGGAGGTCCAGGCATTAACCCCGTTCAAAAAGATTACCTTAAGCCAGCAACACCTCACATCAGTGTCGAAAAAATTTCTCCCGCACCTGGTCACAGAGGTGCATCTCCAATGAACAGAGATCCATCTCCAGTGAACAGAGACCTATCGCCAATGAACAGAGACCCAAACCCAATGAACAGACACCAACAGCCAATGAACAGAGACCTATCGCCAATGAACAGAGACCCAACCCCCATGAACAGACACCAACAGCCAATGAACAGAGGCCTATCACCAATGGACAGAGACCGAACCCCCATGAACAGAAATCCATTGCCAATGAACAGAGACCTATCGCCAATGAAGAGAGACCCAAACCCAATGAACAGACACCAACAGCCAATGAACAGAGGCCTATCACCAATGAACAGAGACCCAACTCCCATGAACAGAAATCCATTGCCAATTAACAGAGACCTATCGCCAATGAACAGAGACCCAAACCCAATGAACAGACACCAACAGCCAATGAACAGAGACCTATCGCCAATGAACAAGGCTCAAACACAGTTTAACAGAGATCCACACAACAGGGAGAAATCGCCAATGATATGGGAGCGCTCACCGAAACCAGAGTGCAAAGCTCCGCCTCCTCGAGCAGCAATGCCCCTTCCTCCTTCCCCTTATAGGACGGAGGACAAGAACAAAAACCAGGGTCTGGTCCCGACAGGCAGAACTGAGCGCACCGAAGACCTCATGAAAGGGAAGTTTTTCCAAGGTGCTGCAGATAACCTGCCCAGCAACCTGCCCACAACAGGAAGGGTGGTGATGCAGCGCTTTGAGATGAAAAACGGGGAGGTTGAAACATGGGAGCAGAAGGAGGTGGTGACTGAGGGTGGAAAAATAGTCAAGTTTGGTGATCTCAAGTTTGATAGCAAGTAAGAATAAAGGGATTTCTTATTTGGCAGATAATGTAGATCCTATAAAAGGATCGAATGTGCTGGTTCAACGATTAGTGCAGGGTCACCTAGCTTTTGGTATCTTTTTAAGAGAGCATGTTAAATACTTTTCCAATGAATCAACGTGTAAACTGAGGTGAAACTACAGTGGGTGCTTTTTTTTTTGTACACATAAAGACTCAAATGAAAATAAATGATAGGTTGAAATGGTTTTGAGGAGACATGGAGAATGGGCTTTGGTTCTGCTGTAACAAGTTATTCAGCCATGTTAGGAATGTGTTTGCTATCTAATTTACTTGGCAAGAAAAATATATCTGCAGGCCCGAACAACCATCTGTGAATGTTTTATCAGTATCTGAATGCATAACACTGTGAACATGGCTCGTACATGGGCCAGGAGCAAACTATAAAATAATTCTGTTTTTTGCTGTTTTTTTTATTAGGTCTTAAATTGGTGACTTCTATGGCTAAACATACAAGCTACATACTTCATTTATGGATCAAGACAGTCTCAGGTTAGGAAAATGTGCAGTGTTATTTGTTTGTTAAAAAACAAACTTGTTAAATAATTAAATGAACCTTGGTGGATCAGTTTGGGTAAGGGCAAAGACGTTTTTGGCACTCCAACCATAGCTCGGCTATCATTTTTTATTTAATTTGTATGAAAAGCTCTTTGCACTTCAGCTCAAAGCCACTAAACTTGGATTTGTAGAGGAACATATTTTTGGCCTACATTTCTTGGTTCAAATTGTTAACTTTTAAACTCTTGAACACAATATGAAAATGCCACCACATTTAGACAACAGCAACCCAGCTCAACTTGATAGCATATCACCTGTAGGCAGGGGTGGTTCTAGGGGGGGGGGCAGTGCCCCCGTAACACTGACTTTGGAGCCCCCTGCGGCCCCCTTCTGAAAATGAAAAGTTTATGATTAAACAATTTCTTGGCTGACGGAATAGGCGGACCCATTAGAGCATAAAAACTGTAACTATAAGTATCTGAAATAAATATGTGTACCAATAACTGTATTGCATTGTTTTCTTATGCGCAATTACTTCATACTGTCTTTGTCTTTTTCGTCCTGCATTTATTGTGCCCCTCTCAGAAAATAACTGGCCCCAGCCTGGCCCCCCCAGTCAAATTGGTCTAGAACTGCCACTGCCTGTAGGTCATTGAGATAATGTAGGTATTCTTTGACAATTTTAGCTCCCATCAGCCACTATGCGTCTATCCAGAACCAAAAGTGATGTTGTGTCTTGTCTTATCCTTGCCAACAGTATACACCCAAAGGCATTTACAATATAAGACAAGGAAATACAGCTAAAACAATCATTTTAGCTGAGTTGCTTCAACCATCATTTTCACTTCCTGAAATGACTTCCTTGGTAACAAAGAAGCTGCTGACCTATATAAGAACTACTGGTGTCAGCTTACTGACTACTCAGACACACAAAACCAAAGACATTGTTTTCATTCTACTGACCTGTTTTTAAAACCATAATCACTGTGTTAACAGTCCATCCTTTAGTTTTGGTTAACAGTGCTGCCCCCACCAAATAGTAATCAAAGCGTGTCTTAAAACAACACTAAAAATACCGTGTCAAATAGCAAATTGGTATTTTAGCTTTCTCTAATATTGACATCAGATATTCAGACATATCAGAGGTGATTTGAGGTTCACAGAAACTCTCTAAGTAAGGACAGCCACAGTCGGTGTGGACTTTTTTCTCAGTTGTCTGTGTATCTGGAGCTGTATATCATACTATATTCCTGTTTAACTTAAAGCAAGTAGCTACAGAAGTTGTTGAGATATTGTATAAATAGTGCTAGATTGAAAGTCAGGTCAACAACAAAGTTATTTCCCATTGTGATTGTTATTTAAACTTATATTCTTGGAAAGTTTGAATGTGCTTGCCTTGAACTGATTAATGGACATTCATACTCCGAAACCTTTCATGCAAAATTAGAAACTGAGACTGTTCAAAGTGTAAGATACTCGATATACTTATGAAGTTTTAAAGAGAACTCAAAACATGTTGGGTGACAATTGATGACTTTTCTTAACTCTATCTGGTATACTGTTTGTCAGATAAAACAACCCGTTTACTTTCTCTTGTGATATGGAGTTTTATAATATTGTGCCAAGAGAAAGAAACATCTAACAAAGTGGGTTTACTTTCCAGCCTGTTCCAGCTTGACAACATTCCTGCCATCATGTACAACTTAGTGGGAAAGGCGTTGTCGTTTCCCACTAAGTGATGCATCCATTAGGTCATAGAGTTGTCATCACCCTCATATTAATACCATGTGATAATCCTTTTTAAAACAGCTAACTTTGACATCGACGGTGTTACAGGAAGTGTACAAAGAGATGCACGATAAACGTAAGTTGCAAAAAAAAAAAAAAAACGATTGAAAAATAAAACATGTGAAGCATTGCTTTTGAATAATCAGTTTATTAATGAATTTAAGGCCACTCTGGACTGTGCAGAATTCATAAAGAGCAGAAATAACTCACAAAGTCACGTTGCTCTTGGTTACTTCAGTGCTACCCTGTGATGACTGCTTTCTATTGCTGCTGATCTACATCAGAACGGAGTCAAATCAAACGTAAAGTAGCTTAAATCAGAAACACAAAACATCAGGTCGAGTGTCGCACAGTTAATGGAGACTGTATGCTGTGACTTTGGGAATATAAGCTTCCTTTGTACATCTTTCTGAGAAATGCCCTACATTTAACAGTGAGGAGCATTCCCCACAGCAGAAACTTGCATTTACAGTCACAATAAGAACGTTTCCAGTTCACAACATAGACACTTCAGCATGCTTCATATTCTTCTAGAGGAGCACTGATATGTATCATCTTCACATTGTGCTCGGTACACTTCCTTGCTAATAGGTTTGTTGCCATGCATATTAAGTCTTGATATAAAGATGCTATTGTATTAGTGAGCACAAGTTGAAATACCACTATTATGTGTTGCTAAGGCCATAGGAGTCGAATATGAAGTCACATCAAAATGATAATGCAGTATATAGTCATCTAATTATGAAAATCACAGGCGGACACTCTCAGAGCTCAAAATCGTCCACTAACACGGACAAATGCCCAATGTCATGATGAAAAAACAAGTTCTCAGTACAGCATTCAGAAAATAAATCACTTGTAATCATCATGGATAATCATCATGGACCATCTTCATCTCTTCACAAAAAAGAAAAAAAACGTAAATTATGAGTGTTGGTGTGAGATTCTTTGAACAACATACAAGTATTGATAGGAAGAGATGAAAGGTATGTACATAAGAGTAGTACAGAAATCATTCACTACAAACACACACACACACACACACACACACAATATGTTATCCCTCAACACAGCTTTCCATGCAGTCATCTTTGGTTTCAGCCTGTTCAACTGCCAGTACAGCCACTCAGTGGAAGAGGGGACAGTTTCTTTTTTCGCATGTTTACAATCAAATCTGTCAGAGTGGAGAGAAGCGAAGGAGGAGCAGACATGCAGTATACGGGCACAAGTGGAAAGGACATGGCAGATGTTTCGATGTGAAGGCTTCCAGAGTAAGATTATGGAGAAACTTGAAAATTACACAGGGACAAATAGTTGTGTTCGAAAGGGGAGAACAGAAAATAAAAATAAACATCGTGGTGAGACTATAACAATATTGCTAAGAAATCGTGAAATGATATAATCTGCTTAATTTTAACACAGTTTCATTGAGACACTATTCTGTGGCGGTTTTAATGAATCATATCCTAACAAGAAGTCACAGAATTCTCTCAAAACACAAACAAGATCATAATATTCCTTCAATTGAACTGAGGTCAATTATATATATATTTTTACTTTTTTGAGTGCATTTCTCCATGATATGTATAGATTAAGGAAAGGAAGTGGGCAAAAGATAGATTAGAACATTTGACTGCATATAAAGTGTTGTGGGAGTAAGCCAGCACTCTTAGGGGGAAACATCTACATAAGGAGATGTAAAGTACACTGCAGATGATCAAATGATAAATATTTTTTTTTAAAAAGCAAGACAGACTCCATTTTGATGTGAATCTCAAGCTCATCTGAAGGCAGAGGACTGATCACCGTCACAAAGAGGTGCTCTATTGGATAAAGGTGAATGCACACAATAACAAAAACAACAGAAAATCAAATGTAGATATCCCATATGCTGAAATGTGAAAGGCTGAATTGAATGCACTGCCTTTACATAGAACTGTACCTTGGCCTTGGTTTACAGAACCAAGACGTAAAATGAACTCTCATTCTCGTTAGTATTTCCACTGAAAATGACAGGCAATGTATGTGTACAGCATCTGAAAACATTTGAAGGATTTAGTCCACCTGATGCAGAAACCAAACGGATAAAGGTCTTTCTAAACGGGACCCCAGGTATTTGCAGACAGGTGGCGGACGTGCAGCGTTCCGTCAGAAGCAGTAATAAACAACATTTTCAAGTTCCTTCATTCATCACTCATTGGCATTTGGACAAAAAAAACGAGTGCGACTGCTGGAAATCACAGCTACTGCTCTATCAAACCCAATATTCGGAATAATGTAAGGTACGAGTGAAGAGACAGCAAACAAAACAAGCTTCTAAGGCATCACAAGGTTTAGCCAGCGACCACAGCGCTGTAGATATATAAACTCACAGAGTCCAACGTTTACCCTTCACCCTTCACTGTGGCTCCCATTGGAAGAAGAGTCAGTGATAGAACAGGAGCCAAGGTGGAGAGCCGTCATCTAAGGATTGATAAATTCAGGTCAATTATTTTCATTTTCAAAAAAAAATCAAAAAAAAAAAAAAATCAAAAAAAAAAAAATCACCATTTTAAAATCACCCAAATCAGTGTCCCACTGCCCACAAAGAAATGCCACCAAAAACTGACAAAAAAGTGAAAACAGCTCCAGGTGATAGAGGAGAAAAAACAGCATCCTACAGCTCGACCAATAGGATTATCCCATTGAAGTCATGGCAGCGTTATACATGATTAGAAGTATTTTGTGTTGGCTTTTTGTTAGTGTCGCCTTCTGTAATTTTGGCTGGGACGTTGACTGGGACTTCGGCAGGTGCTTTTTTCTCTGGATGTTTTTCTTCAGCTTTTTCTGGAGGATGTGGAGGTGGAGGGGAATGTAGACCGGCCTCAGTGCCGATGTTAACAGTGATGTTGGTGTAGAGGGGCATGTATTCCCGTGAGATCAGCTCATATTCAGCTGTGTTCATCCCATCCGACTTCCAGGTCTGACGGGTTTTGGCCAGCATGTTGAACCTTTAAATAGACAGAGCAGTGATGACCGAACGCTGCGTAGCTTTGCATTTTACTTGACATAACAATTAAGTGTTGTTTCTGCTGTTTCCATTTATGAACAAGTAGTGGAGGGTCTCTTTTGCATCATCATTTGTGTTCATCTGCATGCAAACTAAATCAGATCTGCTCCTAAATTCCCAAATTAAAATAAATACATCAAGTAGTTTACTGTACCTCTTTGGGTTCACATCATTGCCTTTGTCCAGCTTGTGTTTAATCATCTTGTAACGGCCAACCTTCACTGACGGACGACTGATGTACATCCCCCCCAGTGACACTCTAAAAAGAAGAGAAAGTATGTCTATCACATAGGGCTGTGCATATAGTCGTATTTTAATCGCAATTACGATTTGGCCTGCCACAATTACGAAAACAACATAATCGAAAAAAACGATTATTTTGCTTTGCTAGGTTGTGACAGTGCACTGCAACATATTTTATGTACTTTATTTGTATATGTTTAGTAGCTTGTTGAAGTGCGCTCCAAAATATTTGTTGATCTTGTTTATTGGTATTTATTACTTTGATATTATTTATTTAAATGTAAATATATCACTTATTTTATTTATTTTTGTATTGGTTTTTCAGTTGAATTATACGGTCAGGGTAATCAACAGTTATAAGATACTGTTCAAATTATTATTTGTATTTTTTTTAAAGTTCAATAATCGTGATTATGATTTTTGCCATAATCGCACAGCCCTATCAAGTACAACTGGATCACACTCATCTCCTTACGTGGTTCAAGAGACACAAATCAAAACATTGATCTTGTACCGATAACAGAGTCTGAACTACAGTAGGGTAGTACAACTGTTTCAATGTAATACTAGATCTACTCTTAATCCAGAGATCTACCACAAACGGGAAATGCCACAATGAGTGACTGGCTACATATACTTTATTCTTAAGTGCATTCGGCCAAGGCTCACCTGAGTCCAATATCGTCGTCCTCTCCACCCCAGCCCCAGTAGTTGTTGGGAAAGCCGTTCATCTTGAGGTAGTGCAGTGGCGTCAGAGCTGACACTCCTCCAAAGTACATATTGTACGGAAGCCTGGAGAGGATTAAGTATTGCAGGTAAACATGTGTAATTGGTGAACAGTGAAGCCTTCAATGGATTATTAGACACAAGAAAGGACATACTTGTAGCCGAACTTGTCCATGGCGATGGCCACATGCTTGGGGGTGGAGTCGCAGACGTACGTGTTGCGATCGTCCTCCGGGATGAGGTCCACATCATGGAAGAAGAGGCAGTCCCAGTCCTCCTCTCTCATGGCTTCTCGGAAACCCACATTCATCAGCTTGGCCCTGTTGAAAGTGTATGTTCCAGCCTGTGGAGAAAACACAGACACATCATGTCAGAGTGATACAATCATCTCACTCTAGAATTATAACAGAGAGGCATCTAGCACAAATCAGACAACCTTGGAGTACGAGGGAGTTAGAGATATAGAAGATAAATCCACAAAATAGTATCAAATAATCAGGAAACCTTCTAAAAGGTATCAGAATAAATTGCAACATTACTGTGAATCATTGCAGGAAGAAGTGGAACACATTCATTCTTATCTGGCAAAAGAGAAAATAGCGAATGAGAGAATGCTGAGAAATACACATTAATTAATTGTTATAAACAGCTAAAGAGATTAAAGCATCCAAGCGTCCTCTTTCTCTCACATGCACATGCAGGGACAGCACACTAGAGGGCACTCTTTATTTAGCCCAGGGTATATGCAGGAATCCTGAAGTCAAATTTAAGACCTTTTTTGAGACCCTTTCCATACATTTTAAGACCTCATTGCCACTTGGAGTTTTAACCGGTTACATTGGCGACACACTTTACTATATACAGTATTGATTGTCCGTCCTCCTTATCGTTCAACCATTTGGACGCAAACTTGCATTTCCCCAAAACGATGTTTAACAACCGGCGTAAACGGGCCTTTGCGCGCTATCAAGCAGTGAGCGTGCGATGTCCTGTTCAGATGACGTCAAATCCAACGGGATGCCATAAATAAACTACACAGAATCACACTACACACCTACGCAAGGATTACATTCAGGCAGACTGTAGAATACAACCTCTTTGGACACATGATATACTTATTGAAAACAAGCTACAAAATGTAATACCTTGGAAAATACAGTTTAATAGCCTTCATTTTCGCTAAATTGATTTATCAACTTTTAATACTTATTAAGACCCCGCGGACCCCCTGTCGCCTGAACGGTAGAAGAATCCACTAAAAGGTTAACTGTGAATGCAGACACAATTGACCAGATGATAGCGTTAGTGAGTGTTTCGACCAAATGTGAAATCTATAGGTTGGGGTTAGGAAATCCCTTTTGATTCTTCCGTGAGTGTATAACATCACTTGGCTGTGTGCTGTTCACCTGGTGAATGATGTAAATTCTGTAGTTGAGCTGTTGTCGCTGCAGAAAAGGATGCAGGTAGTATAGAAGGAACTTGAGGTGGTGTTCTCTGTTTCTGTGGGGAATGATGATGGCTGTTCGGTGTCTCGCCTCACAGTCAGGTGGCCGGTAGCGTCCTCCGCGCATCACCAGTGGATTCTTCCTCTGCACCTCTGCTAGAGTCAGCCCTGATGGGAATTTGACGTGAATCGGCCCACCTGTGAGCAGGACAAAGCTCTGCAGTCATTACCAGTAGCAAACATGTTCAATGGAATAAAGGAAAATCAGCTGGTTAGGTGATGAGAAGCTATGATTTCAATGCATTTTAAAATGACCTGAGCTCAACTGAACTTACTCCTGGATAGAACATCCCTACGCTGGTACAGAGCTAAATGTGCTTGTAAATGAACTTATTGAAGTGGCTGTTAGTTAAACTTTAAGCAGAATAATACATTTGAAAGAGTGGAAAAGTTCATCATTTCTTTACATGCCTCCCGTTTGTCTCACTGAAAGGTCACAAAGAAGGAAACAGATTTATTTTCCTGGAATTCAACATTTAGAAGATACAGTACCATGATGACTGAAACGCCAAATTAAATAATTAAAAAAGGCTCCATGTACGTACAATCTATGGTCAAACAATCCCAAAGCCCCCACAGGAGTTTTGTCAACAAAGCAACTTGATTTTGTTATAAGAGGAAACATTCAAGCATGCAGTCTCTCTGAAGTAAAGATATTTCAACAAGCCCCGTCTGGAGCGTTGCTGCACATAAATATCTGTCACAGGGAAACTCCAGGTGGTTTCAGTTCACTTCCTGCTGCCTGGCATCATGTTCTTTAAAGCCTCAATGAACTTGATCTATTATTTTTGTTCTAGGAAAGTAGTCAAAGCCTTGTGGCTGGGTTATCAGCATGTATTTTAACTCACTGGCAGTGATGTAGGAACAAAGGGGCAGAGGGCAGAGCCAGGAAAGTAGAAAAATAAGCCTGCTTGAGAATGCATTCTAGACATACTGAAAACAACGTGGAGTGTCAGATTTGGTATTGTGCAACTGCCAGAGGTATTTCCACAGGGTTTCGTACTCGTAAAAGAAACTAAAATGTAAACCGTTTTGTATTGTTCCTGTTTTTAAACTAAGTAATTGACACTAATAAAATCTTACTAGATGTTAGACAGTTTTGTTCACTCGTTGCAAAAACTCATTGTCGTCTTGTATGGGTGAAGTTTCCCATAAGGCCAACAAAGATGATATGTGTCAAGTTAGGGCTGCTCAATTAAAATCGTATTTTAAATCGCAATTACGATTATGGCTTGCAACGATTACGAAAACGAAATATAACAATTATTTTTATTTTTTTTATTATTGGTTTTTCAGTTGAGTTATATTTGAAGTTCAGGGTAATCAACCGTTAAAAACATACAGTTCACTTTTTTTTTTTTCTTCAATAAATTGATGTTTTCAAAGTAAATGGATAATCGTTTTTAAGAATCGTGATATAAATTATTGACCCAAATAATCGAGATTATGATTTTTGCCATAATCGAGCAGCCCAAGTTTTTAGCAAAACATCTTTAAGAGATGACACGAGCAGCGCTACCAGCATTTGCCATGGTGGCCAAAACATTTTAATTTGGTCTTAAATTGTAACATTTATTTCCTGTTACTTCAGGACCATGACGGTGGGCCAGCCTTTAATGTTTAACTGAGTGGAATATGTTGAATATGTTGAACCAAAATGTTGGCTATATGTTAAGGAGTTTTCAGGTTGTGACAGTGCACTGCAACATGTTTGTTGATCTTGTTTATTGGTATTTATTATTTTGATATTATTTATTTAAATTATGTATTTATTATTTAAATGTAGATATGAATGTATCATTTATTTTATATTGGTTTTTCAGTTGATTACACTGAACGTATAATTCAACAGTTCAAATTATTATTTGTATTTGTTTTAAAGTACAATAAATGGATGTTTTCAAAGTCAATGAATAATCACATTTAATAATCGCAATTACAATTATTGACCCAAATAATCGAGATTATGATTTGTGCGATAATCGAGCAGCCCTATGTCAAGTTGAAAGCTCAGATGGGCTAGTTCAGGGGTGCCCAACCTTTTTTGAACCGAGAGCTACTTTTAAAGTTGCCAGTCTGCCGAGATCTACCAGTCCAAATAGAGAGGTGTAGCCATTACTGACAGCCTACTACCAGGTAAATACACACTTCTACTTCGTATAAAACTGGCCTTTGTACGATTAATACTTCATAAAATACTGCAGATCCTTTATCTTACCTCTTTCTAATCTACACGCATACAAGTATTTAACTGAAGTTACACAACAGTGTTGTTGATACAGAGTTGGAGTTTATTCACACGTCACTACAGTGGGTAATGTTTTCAAGAAACATTGAACAGTACTGCCACATATGACACAGGACAAAAATAAAAGACTCTGAACCCTTTCTTTGCCATTATATAAAAATAGTGTTGCTACAAAAGTATAAATTAGGCTTACTAATAAGACAACTCAGATCTGAAGCTACACCGGAATCTGCTGCCAAAGTGCAATAAAAAAAGATTATCTAAAAAAATTAATAGAATCAAACCCTTTTTTTTGTTGCATTTTAGTAGATTATAAAAATAAATGCCTTTAAAATAGGATGCAAGCAACACTAGTTTCTTAACCTGAATTGATAATAGACTATAATCAATTTAAGTTTGCATTCTTATACCATTTTGTACAATAATTATAATGAATAAGTTCAAACTAAAACTTACAGCTGATTAATAACGGTATCTATTGAGTTTTTATTATATCAAAAACCTGTTGAAATGCTTCTGTTATTTTTACTGTCCCCCTAAAGCGCATCGGCAGCCTCCAGGAATGCTTCTTTCACAACTTCGCCGTCTTTGAAAGACTTCATGTGTTTTGCAAGAACGTGACTGACACGTTAAGATGCTCTGGTAGCAGCCTTGCTCTTGTTGTTGGGCCTGGTGAAAATGGACTGCTGTGCATTTAGCTGTCCTTTCAGGCCCCTCCCCTTTTGGAGCGTAGGGCAGAATTAGGAGGGAATTCCGTCTCGTAGCGTTTGTGCACTGTTTTGAAATGCCGCTCCTAAATTACCCTTCTTCGATAAAGCCACGCTCGCATTGCAGATGAGACAGATGGACTTTGAATTGGAATAGATACACAAATAATCATCCTCCCACTCGGAGTGAAAATTATATATTTTGGGCTTTTTTGCTTCTGCCATAATTGTGGTCTTGTGTGACTGTCACTCCTGTTGACACGGACAACGTCAGCGAAATAGTGCCCACTGCCCACCAGCCACGCCCCGACACATGGGGTCACGCCGGCCAATCACAAAGCTTTGATGCGTTCAAGTGCATTATTCTGGCACAGGAAGATTATGTTACAGGACATTAACGATAAAACCGAATATTGTTGTTCTATTTTTAGACACATCTCCCGATCGACTGGGAATCTCCCCGCGATCGACTGGTTGGGCACCCCTGGGCTAGTTAGTGAACCTTGAGTATAGATAATCATGACGTTTATTTAAAAAAAAAAAAGACATCACAGCTAATAACCCTGACTGATAACTGTGGACAGGATATCTGATCATTTGATGCATCCGCTTGCTTGTGCTTCCTGATTGCTAATTTACTCCCACATCATTTTCTATTAAGAAGTTCATGGGCAGTACAGTTTGTTTTTCTGCCATTGTATCCTGGGAAACAATTTGTAACCTTGTTAGAATAAGCGCTATATAATTTGTTTTTATTGTCAGTGTCTTATTAGTTTAAATGAGAGACGTGTGAAGGAGAGAGTGATTTACCTCCAGTAACACAGTATCATCCGTACAGAATGACACCGAAGCAGGACAGAGCACTCACCTATAAGAGGGGACGTCTTAGGGCACAAGGGCATGTGATCTTCATTGACATGAGTTTTGAAAAGTGTTGAGAGGTTGGCATATACATCCCCTCCAGGTATGCCCACTGTTGTTTGGTTGCGGCCTGATAAACCAGTGGTGTCGGGCTTGCGGAAGATGCGGATGAAGTAGGAGACCCTCTTCTGGTATCCCTCTCGGGACAGCAGCGCCATGACCACCAGCTGGATGCCCAGAAACATGAAAAGGTAGCGCCATTTGGACTGGATACTGATCATGTTGACGTCGTCAAAGCAACAAGGGTTGGGAGAAGACAGTGCAAAAAGTCACTAAATAGGCTCTCCCCAAGCAGAGACACTACTTGGAAAAGAGATGATTGTCGTCTGTGTATTTGATGGAGGTTGGTGCTGTGGCCCACATATGTTGAACATACGGTAATCTGTGGTAATTAGGAATATGAATATAGGGGAAGATGAGTAAAAAGTTGACAAAGGCACTTTTGGTAGGCTGAAATTTAAAAAGACACCAAGGGGAGGAAAAATAGAAAAATATTGTAATTCAAGAAAAAAAACTGTCTTGTCTTTTTGTCTCTGTTTCACTGCATCCCTTGCTGCAGCCCACTATGTGGCAAATATCTCCAAAAATGACTGTTGGTCCAATTTGTGATTGGCGTGGGGTGGTAATGCCAGTCCCACATCATGTAGTTTCACCCCCAATGAATGCCATCCACTGCCCTGTGGAGCTCATTCTCCTACGGTCAAATAAATAGCGGTGTCAGTATCTCTCTATCGCTCTCTCTTCCTTCCTCTGTGGGCTTTATGCTGCCTTCTGTTCTCCCTCATGTGCTCTCCTGAGGGAGGCCTCTGCAACAACAACAGTCACCATGACAAAAGGGAGCATATGCAGCCGTATAGGCCCTATACTTTACAGAGGATTACACAGCTTCCATCGACTCACTGCCTGACTGGCTGGGGAGTCGGGGGGGAGTGGACCATACCCAGTGTGGGAGGAGTGGTCAGAAGGTTTGTGTATGGGGAGAGTCAGGCCTAGAGAAAAAGAAGACGAGATGGAGGAAGAGGAGGGAGGGAGAACTCTGATTCCAATTGCTTTTGTCGTATAATGATGCAATCCACAGCTCTGACTCCTCTGGCAGCCCACTGGGCCGGCAGCCACGCAGCTCACTGTATGGCGCACTGTATGGACACCAACTGAACCTTCACTCCAGCACAGATCTGAAAGAAAAATCACAAAAGAGAAGGAAGGACAGTTACATTCACTGGCCCTCTTTGGTTTAAACCGTTGACATCAGCGATTTTGTACAGCAGAATGCGTTTACCACACAAACAATGACCGATTGTGTGCAATACTGGGCCGACAAATGGATTGTGTTTGTTTACATGGAGACTGAGCAGCACAGTTGGAAAGCCTTGGTTAATCAGGCCCAGCAAGGGCTCCAGTGCAGATGCCTCCCCAAAGAGAGGCCTGCTGCCCACAGCGGAGGGCAGACGGGAAGCCGTGCTCCGCTGTGTGGATGAAACGTTCCAGTTCAAGAGCCAACAAACTTGCAGCCCCCTTTTTGCTGCAGGCTGCTGCAATGTGGTGTTTGTGGAGCTTGCATAAGCCTTTTCCCTGCTCTGGTGCCGTCTGCTGCAGTGTCCGACACATCCTCACTCACACATTAATTAGTGCTTGTTAAAGAAGCCAGCCTCAGACCACTAATCCTAATCCCACTCAATGCTACAAGACTGGAAGAGACGGAGTGATACAGATATAGTTACTTACTAGTACTACAGTAGCTTCCAACCTCTCACATACACTCAGATTTTATAACCAAAAGTCAACAATTGTTCAAGTCTGTTGAACACAATGATACATGTAAAACCATTTAGAACTGCAATGTCTCCCAATGCATCTTTCGTTAACATCATGAAGGGCAATATCTTCTCTGGAGAATCTTTTAAAAATAACACAGAAAAACAATACATAAGTGTCGAGTAGTCTGTCATTCACACTCTACAAAACATATACATTGCACACGGCAAGTTAATGGAAATAGACAAGTGAAAAATTATTTAAAAAAATAGTACAGCTAAGATGAAGAACAGAAAACATGACTGAAGCCATCGGATACCCTTGGCATGTTGCATTATCTTTTTTAATAATTTGATAGATAACATCTTCTTTTAAAGGCTAGACCTTCGATGTACGTTTTTTTTCATAACCGACAGAAAACGGTTGATCTACAAACCAGGTTCCTTTTAGTTGTGAAAAAAATGACATCTGAATGATACGGTCTACTTGATCAACAGGAAAGATGAACTACTACTACCGACAGCTTTCTGAACTTCAGTGCTGTTCCTGTTTTTCTGTATTTTGCTTTGACAGCTGACTGCGAGGATTTTCAGTGTAAGGATAATAAAGGTTCTTCTCTGAGGGGATATGTGGATCAGAAAGGAAAGGAAAGCCTCTGCTTACCGCTGCAGATGATTTTCATCTGCTCGTGGAACTGTGAGCAGATGGAAGATTGACCCCTCTCACTTTGCTTAGCCCTTATAATAACCGCATAGATTATGGGTATGGTTTATAAAATCCTGCCATAAAGACTTAATCCCACAGTGGGGAAATTGAACTCAACCACTCAGGGATGCCATCCAGAACATAATAAAAAGTGACCTGGAAAACAATGATCCTTACATAATGAAGACTACTTACTGGTTCAGGGTTTGTCAGGCTTGCTAGATGAATATAATTAAACATCAAGTTTTCAAGAGCAAAACGTTGCTGATAAGATCATGCGATGTGCAAGTGTGAGCCATTACATGACTAAGCATCATGCTTAAGGAAACCCTTCCTACTCTCCCATATTCCTGTCACATTCATGTGTAATGAGATCTGAGGTGGAAATTCCACACTTAATCACCTTCTGGTAAGAAAATAACAAATATACAAGCTTAAACCAAAGTCGTGTTATTTCATAAAGAGTTATAGCATTTAACAGAATCAATCATATTTCCAGCTGGAAAGGACAGCGGTCCTGCACTAGTAGATAGAATACAAAATAAAATAAAATAAACATTAAGGTGCAGCTTTTCGATGAACTGAAATAATCTGTATTTGAACTGTACTAGCACCTAAGCAGCCAGCTTGACATTATGACTTGCTTGTCATTGTATTTTCATGTTTTTTTAAATAAAAATGAACTTGTCCACATTGCTTGCCGAAGGGCAGATCTGCTGGCACTAACAATGTCTCCTGCTGTGGAGAACCCCTCTCGCTAGGGACAGAGGTAGCAGTACAGCCAGGTAGCGCTTTGCTAACATGGCAACATAAGGATATTTGGCGTTTGTAATAGCTTTGGCTCGGTCTGAACTCTCTGCGAGTGGTGGAGGCTTAAATGCTAGCGGGAGTTGGGTTTGCACTTCAGTCTTTTTCTTTTGGTACCGGTGATATTCACGTTCGGGTGATGCCTTTTCAAGAGTGTGCAAGTTTGATGTATTGCCAGCCGCGTAACCAATTTTAGTTGAAAGATCTGACCCCGTTGCACAGAAAAGCAATGTCATGTATCCACATTACAGTCCCAAGTTGGGTGGGGGGGCAGACAGAAGGGGAAGCACAGTGTGTTAATTACAACCCTAACATCCATATGATAATTGCCTGACAATGGTCAGGGAGACACCCTGCTGTCTGAGAACATTTCACAGCGAGGACACCTACATATATATTGAATCACTGTAAATTCCCATCATAAGATACACATGTTTTTACAAAGGGGAGAAATGATGATGGTTTGCTTTGGTGCTTGAGCAGGCTGGAGTGAGAGAACTTGGCATCAGGAACGTGCTTTAACAAAGCCGACTGACTTAGAACACATAAAAACAGAGATTCAGAGGAATCTCAGTGTAAGCTCAAGGGCTGAGGAGTGAACCAAAGAGAGAGGACAAAGCCAGTGTGGAGCTGCAGGGGGAGAGGGAGAGCAGCCAACAGTCTGGTTACACTATGTTCTTTTGACTTCATTGTCTCTCCTGCTCGGATATCCTTTCTTTATTTAGATTTTGAAAAAGAGGCAGGTTTGGCGTGACGTAACATGCACACCAAAGCTATACCTTCTGGCCTTGTTCCCAGCACCCTCGCTCTCCTCTTCATTTAGTTTTTTTCCTTCACTGTGCAATGTGTGCTTTAAAAAGAGTGATGGCACATAACAGCCGACAAATGGTACATTTTCTTTTTGCCCATGGGGCATGAATATTGCATATATATGATATGTCCACATGGATGCTTGCACACACACACGAGTGAACGCAAAAAGGGGAAAGTAGGCTGGAATGGCGGTTAGAATGACGAGCCAACAAGAAAATAAAAGCGGATGGGGGGTTTAGAGTATGGGAGTTATATTTAGATCATCATAGGGCTGCTCAATTAACCGTATTTGAATCGCAATTACGATTATGGCTTGCAACGATTACGAAAACAACGTAATCGAAATATAACGATTATTTTTTTATTATTGGTTTTTCATCTGAGTTATACTTAAAGTTCAGGGTAATCAACTGTTCAAAACATACTGTTAAAAAAAAAAAAACTCCAATAAATTGATGTTTTCAAAGTAAATGGATAATCGTTTTTAATAATCGTGGTATCAATTATTGACCAAAATAATCGAGATTATGATTTTTGCCATAATTGAGCAGCCCTAGATCATCATCTGGGGAATAATATCTTATGCTTTGCTTTTCAAATCCTAAAGGGATAGCATAGCACTCATGCACAGCCCATTGGCTGCAATATCTGCCAGAGTAAGATAAATGAGCAACCAACAAAGTCACAATAAGGGTAACCACAGAAAAGGTGTACCTTACCAGGCATTCATATAAAGATTATATTGGCATTAACACGGCAGTCCATTTTATTTGTACTCCTGTCCAACTCTAGGGCAGCCTGTTTCCTGGACCAGAACTATTTGTGCAGCAACACTCATTGATGACCTGCTGTGGGTTATTCTCTAATGCCCCTTTCACACCAGCACTTTTTCAGGCTCCGGCTAGGAGCTGGAGCCTGAAAAGCACCGGTTTTTCCTGTTCACACCGCAGCGGCGCCGGCTCTTAGCTCCGGAATCCGGTTCACTTCCAGCTCCAAAAAATTGTCGGTCTAGAGGCAAGAGCTTCGGAGCTAAGAGGCGGCGTCACTTACGTCTCTCTTACGTCGAGGCGTGCAGGAAACTAAACCCTCCTCCCCTGAACATGGGTCGACTGTCATGCCTGCCTACAAGCAGTAGTGCTTATAAACACACTTTATAAAGTCAGGCAACACTAACCAGGCTTCGTGTGATTCTGTTTATTTGTACCTTACTTTGACCATCCGTTCACTGTTATTGATCATTGTGGAGAGGCAGACGTTTTGTTTTGTATTATAGCAGCTATCGGATGGAATCAATACATGGGCTGCACAGGTTGTCGTGTCCGACTATCACAAGTAGAATCATTATAAAAATACGGCAGTAAAATGTGCCTGTAGAAAACGGTTTATGCCACAATAGGATAGCAATAGCAAGTAGTCAGTTTAGCTTCGGTTGCTATGCTAACATCACCCATTTTATACCAGAGAAACTTTCATAACAGCGTTGTGATGCCAAACAGCGTCAATTCAGACGGACACACATTCACTTAGGCTAAGGGGAACTGGGGATATGTATCAGCTGCTTGTGTGAGTCGGACAGTGAATACTTTAGAGCGGCCGCAGCAGTGTGAGCTAACCGGGAGCTAACGGGAGAATAAACTCCGTGGAAGAGCAGCCAACACTGCAGCGGTCGGTAAATGCTGCAGAAACACATTAATAAACAATGAACCACGGCACTCTGGAGCAAAGTATAAGGTTGGAGAAGTCGTTATTCAATTTATTCTGGCTTCGTGTGATTAAAAGCAACACGATCATCGACCCGACGCAGTTCCCCGTTGTTGTGAGCGCCGTAATGCCGTTGGGGAGCAAATCAGCGATGTAAACGGTGACGTCATGACGCAGCAGCCGCAGCACCAGTCGGGTGCTGGGCGGTGTGAACAGAGCGGGAGCAGAAAAGGGAAACCGGAGCTGAACCAGAAAAGCTCCCGCTCGGAGCTAGAAAGGGAAAAGCGCTGGTGTGAAAGCCGCATAAGTGGGTAGTTATCTGAGCCAGTATCAAATATCACAATATCAAAGTTATAACTATCCGTAACCTTATACCCACAGTGAGGCAAAAATC